AGAAACCTGAAGAAAAGAATAAATGAATAGTAAATTTTTCAAAGGCTCTAGTACATGGTACCCAAGCCATATCTGCCAGAGAGACTCTTAACCTGTTTCCAGGAAGCCAAAATCACATGTGCTGCTGAAGAAATCTAATACAAGGTTACAACCAGCATTCTAAAAAGGTCTTAATTAGACAGTTACTCCTCTAAAAGACCTAAAACTTCTCCGTTGTATTCACTGACATTCCATGCTTAAGATGTAATTGGTCCCTCAAATTGTTGGCAGTTCAGTATAAATATCTCTTCAACTGACAACATTTAGGTCTAATGCTATGATTAATAATATATAACAAAGTACTTTCTTTAAACAAGAGGTAAATTGCCAAGACATAAAACAAACCAGAATAGAGCATGTTGCTAGCTGATACGGAGGTTTTTAATGCTTTCCACAGATTCTTTTCCTAAGGGTAGAATTGTGTGTTTCCCTATGAACAATAGAATTGCTCTTTCCCCTTCCAGTCTTAATCATAAAGTAATGCAACAGTTCAGTTGAAGTTCTGGGACAGCAAGTTCTCACAGACTGCTGTTACCATACCACACGTGTGATGACCAACTCTGCCAAGGCACTCCCGTTGTTCAGATCTCACAAGATGTAAAAAAGCATATTTAATCTGTGAAGTAATCATTTTAGGAGGACAACCTTAGGTTTGTTTAAGGTGACAAAAAACAAATGAGTTGGAAAACTTGGGTCTAAGATCAAAAGGATCTTGGAACGTTAATCTTGCTGGGGTGGATTGGTATTAAGGCATTCGTTCAAAAAGAGAAAGAAAAAGAAAAAAGTCCCCAATATTATGCACTCAATTTTTAATAAGTATTAAGGCATTTGTTAAAAAAAAGAAAAAGAAAAAGAAGAAAAAGTCCCCAACATTATGTACTGAATTGTTTTCATAAGTATTATTATCTGACTCCTCTTTTCTTCTTTCCACTACTGATGTGACCACACACACATATACACTTAGAAACACACACTCTCTCCTTGTCTTCTCTTTCATCTCTAAATTCTGTGACACACTATTACTGCTTTGGCTAGCAATATTTTTTGTGAAACCCTAAGTACCTTATTATTAACATTTCTGAAAGATTAGAAGTCATTAAGAAAGGACTCAAACTGGATAAGACTTTTAAATCTTTTGGAATTTTTCGCTATTTGCAATAAATAGCTGTAAAACATCATCATCATAGGTTAGAATTTTATGCCCTTATCATCATATATGTCAAGCTCCACATGTAAAGATACCTAAAGTATTCCAATAAACTTACCCCACTTTTGGTTTTGTTTTTAGACATCTTTAGAATAAAAAAGAGCCAAGTCTTTATAAAAGTATTCAACTTACACATGGACACAGAAAGGGGAGTACTAAACATCGAGGTCTATTGGGGGGAAAAGGGGAGGGCCAGTGGGAGGGGGAGGAGGGGAGGGATAGCCTGGGGAGAAATGCCAAATGTGGGTGAAGGGGAGAAGAAAAGCAAAGCACACTGCCATGTGTGTACCTACGCAACTGTCTTGCATGCTCTGCTCATGTACCCCAAAACCTAAAATCCAATAAAAAATTAAAAAAAAAAAGTATTCAACTTAAATTATTTCATATAATCTTTACATTTTTATTTATTTTCTAAGTGCAAAAGGCATGTAAAGTGATTTCAAAGGTAAAGACTGCAAAATTCAGTGCTAACAAAAAAGGAAAAGTTCCTAGTAACCCCACCGTGCCAAGAGATAACCAGTAGCAACAATCTGGTTTCTGTTTCTCTAACTATTCTTCCTATACAGACAAGTTGCTTGTTTTTCTTTCTTTCTCCCCCCTTCTTCGGAATACATCTTGGTGCTTCTTCCTAACAGTATCTAAATTCTTTCATTTACATACAGAAGAAATAAGCTTTACAGATAAACTATGAAGACAACCAATAAGCACAAAACTATAAGGATACTTCATGATCTGGTAACAAATCTGCCAGTTTAGCTAGACTATTCCCAAGTGTATCTACGGAAAGTATGTTGAAAAAGATACTCAGTTCCAGAAAGTAAAGGTAATAATCCAGATTTTAAACAAGATACCTTCAATTCAAATCAAGATAATTGAGGTTTCAGTATCTGAGGGAGGGGTTCCTGTATTTTTGTAAACCATTTAGTGTTTAAAGACTATATCAAAGCCCAGTCTCTCCTGTCCTTCCCTTTCCCTGGGCTGCCTGCCTTTGCAAGTGAGTGGACCTCAACATTCCTTCAATCAGCAGGGCCTTGAAACAAAGCACAAGAGCAAGGTTTTAATGGGAGAGATAACCCTTGTCATCCAAAGGAGGAAAAACAACATCTGTTAAAAACCCAAGTAAACTGCACCAATGGGTCCAGCAATAGGCCCAGAGGACTTCAGGGATATAGTCTTTGCTTATCAAATAAAAACCACAACAGAACAATTCTTTCACTCCAACGCTCTGTATTCTAAACTCTCTTCAGATTAATTAGCGTGGAGTTTCGCCAAGCTCATTAAAAGAAAAACCCCCGGACTCCTAAGGATGACTGGTGTTTACTGTCCTCCCAAACTGGGCAGTGAGAACTCAGGGGAGCCACAGACTTCTGGGCTTTCTGTAGTGATAGAATTCCTAGGATTTATTTTTAAATTGCATGTTAAAAATCAAGACTACAAGAATCCTTTCATATTTACTTTTTTTAACTGAAAACAATTGGTCCTTATTTATCTTCCTTGTGCACCTCCCAACCCCGTTACATTTTATAGCTACCAAACAACAGACCACAGGTTTCTGGAGTCTGTGACCACTCAGATGAGTTATTAGATAACCCTGATGAGTTTGTCAAGTCCTCCAGAGCCTGTGGACACTCAGGCCAAACTTCTTTTCTCCTGAAACAGGCTTTCTCCACCCACCCAAATCCCCTAATTCTTGGGTCTGCCAAGGGCCTGACCTTCCATTCTCTGCAGTAAAGGGTGAAGTTTTACAGGAGGAAGGCCCAGTAGATTAAAGGCCTCTGTTCAACAAATATTTGCTCACCCACTCCAGCCGGAGTAACAGTTTGCTACACGCTGCATGCCCAGAGCCACACTTAGAGACTTCAGGAAGCCTTTTAAGCTGGTGACTAAGAATTAGATACCTCATGTCAAGGTAAATAATTAAGTCCCAATCCACAGAACGTTATGGAAAACCAAACGACTTTACCAAACTCCCAATTTCACACGAAAACCAACACAAGTTCCATGAAATAGAAGCTGCATATGATTTCCAAAAAAAGCCTGTATGCATTCGTGCCTTGCTGGGTGGTCTTAGAATTCTAAAACGCCCTGGGACATTCCCAGAGTTTTACCTGTACAACCCAAGACCACAAGGTTTACACCATGCAGACTGCCTGAATCCTACCCATCGGGTCCCTTCCCCCAAACCCCTAAATTTTGCAACCCTCATCCTCAATCTCTGGGATGTCTATTCTTTGTAAATCCGAAAAGACAAAACGCTGGAGAAGGAAAACAAGTTGTGGGAAAACACATTAAACTGTCAGGACAGGCAACTCCGGGAGTTGTGTGGTCTGCACGGCCCCACCCCTCTCCCCAAGACTAAGACCAACCTACTGGATTTGGGGAGGGAATGAGGACACGGGAGGCGGGTGGGGAGGGTGCGGGGGTGGGAGAGTGGGTGTGGGTGTAGGATGGTGACGTGCCCACGCTAATTCCCCCAAGGTCTCTGCTTCTTCTGAAGCACGTGAATGAGCAAACACCAGGACATGCCCAGGTAGCGCTGGCCTAAAGTTCTCGTTTTTATTTTTTTCTTCAGTAGTGAAATCACAGGTTCTTTACAAACGCCCAGAAGAATCCCAGGCGCTCTACTTCTTGACAGTATGCGAGAGGGGCGCTTTTAGCTGCTGGTGCTGTGCCCCACTGTGGCCAGGGCATCGAGGTAAACCCTGGAATTTTGGGGGTGAACGGACCCCGACTGGGGATAGGGGAAGCAGAGGTTGCCGACGGAGATCTGAGCGCAGAGACTCTGGGTGGGCGGGCTTCAGATCCCATAAATGAGCTGATTAACGGGATTTACAGCACTCCTAGGCGGGGCTCCTGCCCTTCTCCCACCCCACGCGCAGCCGGGAGCCCGGCGGCCCCGGGCACTCGCTGGGAGGCAGCCGCGATTAGCGCCCTAATCCTCAGCGCAGACCGCGCGGAGACCGGAGCCGGGCCGCGGCGGGAGCCCCCACCGTCCCGGGCAGTCCCGACCGCCCGGGCAGCGTGGGAACCGGGACCTCGAGGACCCCGCGCGCCAGCTGTCAGCTCCGGGGTGAGGTCCGCGAGGTCGGGGCGCGCGGGCGCGGGAGGGGTTGGTGGACACACGCTGGGGAGGGCGACTTCGAGAGCGGAGTGAGCGACCCCCGCCTCCTGGGCCCTCCGTGAGCCGAGGGGCGACGCGAGCGCTAACGCCAGCCGCGGCCCGCGGTGTCCGCCCTGGGACCCCCGCGCCCCGAGCGGGGTACCTGAGGGGACGGGATGCCCCTCCCGGCCTGGCAGGCGCCCCCCATCCCGAGACGGCGGGGCCAGGCACCGCGCTGGGGGCCCGGGTGGGGCTGCGGCGGGGGGTGCGGACATCCCCCACCGCCGGGGTGGCTGGGATCGGAGCGACGTCCAGGCTGGAGAAGTTGGGGGGAGCGCGGGAGGCAGCGGGTGAGGCCCGCGAAGCGCCGTGGGAGCGGCCCAAATGGACGGTGGGACCCAGGAAGGCGAGACGCCGGGACTTACCGAGCGGCTCCCTCATGCCGCCTCGCGCCGCCGCCGCCGCCGCCGCCGCCGCTCGGCCGGCCCGGCACTAGCGCTACCCGCCCCGCCTTCAGCCGCCGCGGCCGAGCATGCCCGGAGCACTGCCGCCCGCCCCGCCCACCGCGCGGGCCCGCCCCGCCCCGTTCCGCCCCGCCACGCCCACCACCCGGACCCGCCCCGCCCCGCCCATCTCCTCTGCGCTAAGGGCGGTATCCAGGCCAGGAGCTGCCTAGGCTTTTGGGGCAGCCTGCGTGGGTCGTGTGGAAAGGCACAGGTGGTTTGACCACCCTTTCCTCTTTTCCTGCCACTTGGGTTTGGGCCACGTCAATCCTGTGCAAATGTCCAAAGACACACACACTCTTACAGATACACAGAAAATACAAACATATTCACATACACACACAGTTACACACACACAAAGATGTATGCAAACACACTCATGAGCACCCACACACAGATGCACAGAAACATACACAGGAAACAGGTGCACACAAACACATATACAGAACACAAACACACAATCACAGACAAGTCCACACAAACACACAGTCACACACAAGTGCACAGAAACGCACCCCTATACAGTCACACAGAAGTGCACACAAACACACCCATACACAGTCACCCGCAGACACACACAAACGCACCATATACAGTCATGCGCAGGTGCACACAAACGCACCCATAAACAGTCACACACAGATGCAGCCAAACACACTGACACATATACATACATACACAGGAACACAGTACAGCAATACACACAGACACACAGACACACACACACACATAACACATTGATGTTATGAAGAGCAGAAAACAGTGATGGTGACAACAGCTTAGGATTTACTTCTTTAAAAAGAAAAGTCTTGGAGTCAGCTAGAGAGCTGGAAGCCACCTTCAGATCAGCTGGCCCGTCCTCTCTGGTGCAGATGAGGAAACTGATGCCAGGAGTAGGATTCCTACAGGGTAGGGTAGGAGGGGAGATAGGAGGAGGTGAGTGGGATGGTTCAGAGCAGAGTGAACATTTCCTGACCCCAGACCCACTCCATGTTTCTCTTACAGTGAGAAGGGTCAGAAAGATTAGACTGCTGCCTGGGTCTGCTCAAGGCAAACGTTTTCATAATTTTGGAAGGCAGACAGAAGACAAAAAAATGTGAAATATTGCTGATGCATTGGGGAGAGACAGGGAATGTTAGTTAAGTCCACCCAGACAAAACATGGATAGCACAGCAGACTGGTGTTCTTGCCAAATGAGTTTTCAGAAAACTACTGAGCCATCATGATTTTCGAAGTGTATTTGCTGTCAGAACACCAATAAGTAACCTTTTTTGCTCTATCACCATGCCTGAGCCCTTCATATGCATTATTTCTTTTAATCTTCATTACGGTTTGACCATGTGGGTACCACTTTGCAGAGGAGGAAACCGGCTCAAGGAAGGGCACAGTGGCAAGCTGCAGAATCTCGCCCAAGACCCCTGCTCTGAACCACCAGAGCAAGGTCGTTTCTTTGTTCTCTTGAATTGTATGTTCCTCATGATTACTAGGAACATATAATCTAACAGAGCAAAAAAGTGGAACACTCTATTGCTGGAAAAGAACGAACAATGTAATTGAGTGCTGTATTGTGCATTATCAAGAGTGCATGGGAGGAAACCAGATGAGGATGATGACAGCAGGCAGCATGATCAGGGGCTCGAGAGCCAGGTAGCTCTGGTCCCGGGCTTGGCTTCTCTGCCACTTTCAAGATGTGGTACTTTACTTCCTTTAGTCTCACTTTCCTCTCTAATGAAATGGGGGTAATGATGGTTTGCATCTCATAGGAGAGTCATGAAAATTCAATGAGATGATGCCTTCTTATCACTTAGTTCAGGTACATGTAACAATGAAGAAAATGGTGGCTGGGAGCAGTGGCTCACGCCTGGAATCCCAGCACTTTGGGAGGCTGAGGCAGGCAGATCATCTGAGGTTGGGAGTTAGAGACCAGCCTGGCTAACATGGTGAAACCTCGTCTCTACTAAAAATACAGAATTACCCAGGTGTGGTGGCGAGTGCCTGTAATTTCAGCTACTCGGGATGCTGAGGCAGGAGGATCACTTGTCTCAAGAGAAAAGAAAAGAGTAGCTACTGCCACTAATACTTGCACCACTGCGGCTGTTTGAGTTGCAGCCACCAGGGAAGACTTTGAAAGACAAGTAAGTTGTGGCTAGGGAGAGACACAAAGGCTGGGGAAATAGAATTCCATAAAATTTAAAAGATCAAAAAGGAAAGGAAATGCAGAAGGTGTGTGTGTGTGTGTGTGTGTGTGTGGTTTTTCTGAGAGTCACAGTTATTAACAGCAGTGATATTACCTCTTGTCAAAAAAGCACTGTTCAATGATAGATTGCTTCAATGACTTATAGAATTCCTGTTTCTCCCCAATTTGCCAACTCAGTGAAATAACTTTTGGCTGGGGTGAAGCACCTCTGTGTACCCATCATGGTGCAGACACCTGGGGAGCCAAATATTCCCACTAGAACATTTATTGGCCAGTGAATTGGGATTAGGATGTGTTTCCTCATAGAACAATGTCATATTGTTGCGTTTCTGGGTCAACGACATGGAAGTTTTACAATGTACCTAAGTGCTGCAGAGTTGCAATAAAGCAGAGGAGAGTTGCAGTAAATGAGAAAACAACGCTGATTCAATGCTAGGGACTAAGCTAAACCAAACCAAATCAAGTTTAATAAGAAATTGTATTTTAGCAGAAAGGCTGGCAAAGGCAGATTCAATTAAGGGAAGGTAATGGGATTGAAATACGGACGATTCTAGAGAAGATGACTTCACAATTTCAAGATGCTTGTGGTTTCTTGACCCTGGCTCTTTATCCTAACATGCTCATTCCAAAATGTTTGTCTTCCCTCTTTCCTCAGTTCTGATGTATTCCTCACCCTGCTCTAATGTTTTCCTGGCATGACTAAGGCCATTTCAAATGAAGAAGCAGAATGAAAAGATGGGGAGAGAAGATGATGGTGAGGCTGTGAATGTGTGGAGAGGGGCAAGCAGAAAGGTGGAAAGTTTTTCTAAAGCTCTGGGAATAGAATTAACAAAGAGAAAAGAGGGTGTAATAGTCTGTTCTCATGCTGCTAATAAACACACACCTGAATCCAGGTAATTTCTAAAGGAAAGAGGTTTAAGGGACTCACCTTTCCACATGGCTGGGGAGGCCTCACAATCGTGGCAGAGGGCAAAGGAGAAGCAAAAGCACATCTTACATGGCAGCTAGCAGGAGGGCATGTACAGGAGAACTCCCCTTTATAAAACCTGCAGGTGTCATGAGAACAGCAGGGGAAAAACCCGCCCCCATGATTCAATTAGCTCCCACTGGATCCCTCCCACAATGCATAATGACTATTACAACCTAAGGTGAGATTTGGGTGGGGCCACAGAGCCAAAGCCTACCAGAGAGTAAGGTTGAAAACATGCATGAGTATGAGCAGATGATTAATTATAAATGTAAGATGATAATAAAGACAAAGGTAGTGAGGAAAATCTACTGGGTCAGTTTCCCTACCAGTCACCAGTACATGGACAAGGGACGGTGGACAAGAAATGAGAGAAACCAGCCTAACCTAATCCACTAATCCCAACCCACTCCCACTTTCCTGCAGTTTGGGTCCCTGGCTTCCACCTACTTAATCCTAAGAGATAAAAACAGAGGAAAAACATTCCTATCACTTATGAGATGTAAAGTACAAACTACAATTTGAAAACAACATTTAGCATGTTGCTGTTAGAAGTCTGGCACAGCCCTGGGAGCATGTGCCAGGGTCCAGCCCCGGATGCCCAATGTCCCCGCCTTTCTTGAGTCCCAGAGAAGGGATTTCACAGACTCAGGAAGGAACTTGGATTATTGAGTCATTGGGCAGATGTGCAGTAACTGGAGAAATAATGCTTAACAGCCTGCTTAAGGAAAAAAAAAGCCAAGACCTTGTTTCTCTAACTTACTGCCTGTTCAAACATCTAGAATAACCCTCCTCCCTTTCTACTTTAGGGCCCTTCTCTGCTGATTATAAGGTTTCCTTTAGCTGATTTAGATATTGATTTTTTTTTTTAGTCTGTAAAGACACTACCAGTTCTCATTTTTTAAAAGATTAATGCTTTTTGTAAAACATTAATTTGTTGTCTGCATTGACACATAATAATTGTACATATTTATGGGGTACAGTGTGATGTTTTGATATATGCATACATTGTGCAATAATTAAATCAGGGTGTTTAGCATATCCATCTGCTGTAGTTTGAATATTTGTTCCCTGCAAAACTCATGTTGAAACTGAATCCCCAATATGGAGTGTTAGGAGATGGGATCATTTTTTTTTTTTTCTGAGATGGACTCTTGCTCTGTAGCCCAGGCTGGAGGACAGTGTCTCAATCTTGGCTCACTGCCAGCTCCACCTCCAGGATTCAAGTGATTCTCCTGCCTCAGCCTCCCAAGTAACTGGGATTATAGGCGAGCACCACCACACCCAGCAAATTTTTGTGTTTTTAGTAGAGATGGGGTTTCCCCATGTTGGCCAGGCTGGTTTCAAACTCCGGACCTCATGGTCCACACGCCTTGGCCTCCCAAACTGCTGGGATTATAGGCGTGAGCAACTGCGCCCAGCTGAGAGATTAGATCTTTAAGAGATCATTGGATCATGAAAGTTCTGCCCTCATGAATGCATTAATCTATTTATGGATTGATAGATTAGTGGGTTAGTGGATTAATGGGTTATCATGGTGGGGAGCTGGTAGCTTTATAAGAAGTGGAAGAGAGATGTGAGCTGGCACATGAGCACGCTCAGCCCCTCACCATGTGATGCCCTATACCACCTTGGGGTTGACTCTGCAGAGCTCCCACCTGCAAGAAACCTCTTACCTGATGCAGCCCCTTGACCTTGGACATCTCAGCTATCAATTTTGAAATACACAATACACTTGTTAGGTACAGTTACCCTTCTCTGTGATAAGACACCAGAATTTATTCCTCCTAAATGAAACTTTGTACCCATTGACCAAAAATACCCACATTCTCAATAAAATCTGGAAGTTTCTCTCACTGACTTGTTTTAGAAAGTCAGGCAGTGGTGGTTACATGGAAACTGGCAAGGATCTTGTGAGAGTAGATTGGTGGGTAGCAAAGGCCAGGAAGGCTGGGACTGAATAAACAGAAGCTGATTAACGGGTACAAATATGCACTTAGAAGAAAGAAGACCTGGCATTTGATACATCAGTAGGGTGTCTATAGTAAACATTAAGCAGTTGTTATTTCAAAATAGCTAGAAAAGAATACTTTGAATGTCCCTAGCATAAAGAAAAGATAAATATTTAAGGTGATGCATGTTCCTATTACCCTAGTTTGATTATATCAATTTATGAAATTATCACATGGACCTTGAAAATGTATATACATATGTTTTATTTTGTTTTATTTTTGAGATGAGCTCTCACTCTGTCATTGAAGCTGAAGGGCAATGGCATGATCACAGCTCACTGCAGCCTTGACCTCCTGGGCTCCAGCCATCTTCCTCAGCCTCCCAAGTAACTGAGACTATAGACACACACTACTATGCCCATCTAATTTGTCTATCTTTTGTAGAGACGGGTTTTCCCTGTGTTGCTTGAAAACAACTCCTGGGCTCAAGCAAAGCTCCCACCTTGGCCTCCCAAAGTGCTGGGATTAGAGGCGTGAGCCACCATGCCCAGCCCTACGTAATTATTTTTAACCAAGAACTAGAAATCTATTTCTCAAAGTCTCCTCCATGGACCACCTACACCCAGATCAACTTGGGGAGGGAGAGTTGACTAAAGGCCAGATTCCTGGACCTCATCAAACCAATGCTATCTGAATTTTTAAGTTCTACCATTGAGATCCTGGAATGCATACTCTAAGAAAGTGCCCAGGTGATTCTCACACATGGTAAAGTATGAGAAGCAGGGATGAAGCACCATAAACAGACACGGTGTGTGTCAAGAGAGGAATGGATTGACTGGCACATACTACACAGTGCAAAGACAGCAGCTGTGGACAGCATTGTGTGATGATGGAGAGTCACATAGCAACGTCCTTCACAAATCAAATGCGTTACATGTTTACTGTTGGCTTAGAAGATTTGACTCTAACTGAAACAAACCCTGCTATGCTGGGGACCGAGAAGAGAGTGACAAACAGTTTTTCAATCGCATACCTTCAGAGTGAGGAGATGGAATCTGCACATTTCCTTCATGAGAAAAACCATTTCTAATTGCTTACTCACTTGGTGCCAGCTTGTTCTCACATAAAGCCACATATTAATGGAAAATAACTTCTCTGTCACACTCACTATAGCAAAGAGCTGCTGTTTACTAGTGGCAGACAGAACATTCCAAGCCTCCCCCTGGCTGCAGTTTATAAAATTCTTTGCCAATTTCTTAAGGAAACCCCTTGAGCGGTGGTGGCCTCCAGATAACGCCAGTGGCTGTCAGGGATCTCATTGGTATGGAGGGATGCCAATGGGGCTTCCAGCAGACAGGGTGTGGCCAGCAGCAGAGTGGTCCAGATGTGGGCATCCCCCGGGCTGCCTCTCCCACCAATCCACACCAGCTAACCAAGAATGAATCAAAACTAACTCAAGCATTTTTTAACCCTATATGATGTTTTGTTTTTAAAATGGGAAATAGGCTGGGCTCAGTGGCTCACACCTGCAATCCCAGCACTGTGAGAGGCCAAGGCAGGCAAATCATTTGAGGTCAGGAGTTTGAGACCAGCCTGGCCAACATGGTGAAATTCTGTCTCTACTAAAAAAAATGTGCTTGTAGTCGCAGCTACTCGGGAAGCTGAGGCACAAGAATCACTCGAACCCAGGAGGCAGAGGTTGCAGTGAGCCAAGATGGCATCACTGCACTCCAGCCTGGGCAACAGAGTGAGACCCTATTTCCAAGAAATTAAAAATAAAAATAAATAGCCAGTGGTACATGCCTATGGTTCCAGTTACTCAGGAGGCTGAGGTGGGAGAATTGCTTAAGCCTGTAAGTTCAAGGCTGCAGTGAGCCCTGATCACACCACTGCACTCCAACCTGGGCAACACAGCAAGACCTTCTCTCAAAAAAAAAAAAAAAAAAAAAAGAACTATGAGAATAACTGTGAATCACATTAGTTGTAAAAAGAATGCCTCCATTATGGGAGAGAATGGTGTATCAGGCTTTTATTAAGTCAGCGATGGTTAGCAATACAAAAATGACATCAAAGTGGAAGGGAGAGATGAGAATTACCTTTTTTTTTTTTTTTTTTTTGAGACAGGGTCTTGCTCTGTTGTCCAGGCTGGAGTGCAGTGGTGTGATCTCAGCTCACTGCAACCTCCACCTCCCAGGTTCAAGTGGTCCTCCTGCCTCAGCCTCCCTACTAGCTGGGACTACAGGCATGCACCACCAGGCCCGGCTAACTTTTTGTATTTTTGGTTTGAGACCAGGCTGGTCTTCAACTCCTGACCTCAGGCGATTCACCCACTTTGGCCTCCCAAAGTGCTGGATTACAGGTGTGAGCCACTGTGATCAGCCAAGAACTACCTTTAATTTCACGTTTCTCATGTGCCAGGCACTAGGTTACACCTTGACTTACGTCTTTCCATGTACAAAAGGGTGACACTGATTAGTGTCACTGTATGATTTTTAAGTTACAGTCATACATCACTTAATGACAACGATATGTTCTGAGAATTGCGTTGTCAGGCAATTTCATTGTTGTGCAAACATCCTAAAGTGCACTTACACAAACCTAGGTGGTGTAGCCTACTACACACCTCGGCTACATGCTGTAGCTTATTGCTCCTAGGCTGCAAATTGTGCAGAAGTGACTCTACTCAATGCTGCACACAATTGTAACACAGTACTATTTGTGTACCTAGGCATAGAAAAGGTACAGTAAAAATACAGTATAATCATCTGTAAAATTATTATACAGTAAAAAAATTATCTATACAGTAAAAATACAGTATAATAGGCCGAGCCCGGCCTCTTTCCCATTTTAAAAACAAAATATCATATGGGGTTAAAAAATGCTTGAGTTGGTTTTGATTCATTCTTGGTTAGCTGGTGTGGAATGGTGGGAGAGGCAACCCGGAGGGTGCCCACGTCTGGACCACTCTGCTGCTGGCCACACCCTATCTGCTGGAAGCCCCATTGGCATCCCTCCATACCAGTGAGATCCCTGACAGCCACTGGTGTTATCTGGAGGCCACCCACCACCGCTCAAGGGGTTTCCTTATGAATTTGGCAAAGAATTTTATAAACTGTAGCCAGGGGGAGGCTTGGAATGTTCTGGGACCACCATTGCAGATGTGGTTCATGGTTGGCTGAACTATTAGGCAGTGTATGACAGTGATTCTTCTAGTTAAGTGTAAGACAGGATGTATGGCTGGGTGTGGTGGTTCACACCTGTAATCCTATCAGTTTGGGAAGCCGAGGCAGGTGGATCACCTGAGGTCAGGAGTTCAAGACCAGCCTGGCCAACATGGCAAAATCCTGTCTCTACTGAAAATACAAAAAATTAGCTTGGCTTGGTGGTGGGGACCTAGAATCCCAGCTACTTGGGAGGCTGAGGCAGGAGAATCGATTGAACCCAGTAAGCAGAGGTTGTAGTGAGCTGAGATCGCACCATTGCACTCCAGCATGGGCAAAAGAGCAAAACTCTGTCTCAAAAAAAAAAAAAAAAAAAAGAATGTAAATCCTTTTGAAAGATTACATTCTTACAATAATGGAAGAAAACTTTCCATTTCATTATTTGCCTGCCTCCCTCAAACTCCTATCACACAATGAAGCTGCTGGTGCGATACCGCATTTATCAGAGTATATCCTGGATTTGCCTGGATGATACTTGGTTCAGCTACTGGATTCCGCATTCCTGGTAGAAGACACTCTTCCTCCCGATCCTAACTGTGTTTTCTTAGTTGGTTTATTTGGCCTTCATTAATCACCAGGCCAAACTACCAGCCAAGGTTGCTGACACCTCCCCCGTGATCCAGAGCCTGCTCTCTCAACTATCTCCTTATCTCACTCTCTCAGCAAGCCAGTATTTTCCCAGCCTGAAATCAACCCAGGGCCAGGTCCCAGACAACTGGGGCTGTGTCCCAAAGGCCACTGGAGTTATTCCAACCGGCCAGCCCCAAGCTCTTTCCCTTGCCTCTTCTTACCTTTCCTGTGAGAATCCCAGTAATGGCTGTGGCTGAGGCCTTCTCCCTTCTTTCTGCCTGCTGACCAGCACTGGTGCTTCCCCCAGGCCCTGCGTGGCCTAAGGTGTCTCCTGTTTATAGGCCAACTGTGAGTAACTTTAATCTTTGCTCTCAATAGCACTGGCCTCTCAGACATCACTTAGTCACCTTTATAAATTATGACCCAGGCACAAATCAGTTTCTTTGCTGACCACAGCCTAGCACCACCATACCTTTGGACAGTAGATGACCCCTGTCTGTTGAATAGAATTGCTGAATGTCTCTGAAGTGGAAATGGTTGCTTCAGCTCACATTGTGGAAATCCTGGGTGGAGAATCTTCACCATAGGAGTGGGGGCCAAAGCATTAGCTGAGGGCTGGGAGTGGCCAAGGGAAGAAGCAAAATGACCAGAACCATCGGGCGCAGTGGCTCATGGCATCATCCCAACACTTTGGGAAGATGAGGGAGGAGGACTGCTTGAGCCCAGGAGTTCGAGACAAGCCTGGGCAACATAGCAAGACCCCATCTCTACAGAAAATTTACAAAATCATTAGCCATGTGTGGTGGCATGTGCCTACAGTCCCAGCTACTCAAGAGGCTGAGGCACGAGGATCACTTTAGCCCAGAAAGTCAAAGTTGCAGTGAGCTGTGATTGCACCAATGCACTCCAGCCTGGGCAACAGAGAGAAACCCTGTCCGAAGAAAAGAAAATAGCCAGAGCGGTTAGAACATGTCTAGGCTCTCTTGGATTCTTTATCAATTTGTTTTAAATCTGTTGGGAGTTTTATTTTTGCTTTTTCTGTGTTCTAACTTAAACCCAGCTAACCATCCCAAAACTCTCCTTGGTTAGTCTCTTATGGACCTGAATGATGTGTATATCAAGCAGATGGCGTGCTAGTTGTGAGTTTTGTTTAATCCCACAAAAAGCAAAACTTCTAAAGCAAATCAAATCATGCAAATAAGAGCGACTATAGAGGATAATTAGTGGTTTGTAGGAAGGCCACCCATAAACGTGAAATATGAGTCTGAGAAAAGAAAATAAATCAAATGAAAGTCAGCTTATCAGCCGCAGTTGGAAAACAACTGTGAAAGTCCGAAGCCAGTGTCTTATCTAGCTGGAACAATTGGTCAGTGTCTCTGAGGCCCTGGTAACTGTTGAAATGTTTCCTTTCCCGCAGCCCCTACTCCCTGCCCTGATAATTCAGTGCATTTTTCCCAGTCAGCGCTGATAAGATCCAGCAGGATGTCCCGTGTCATCTGCACATGTCATCCCTAGAGTCAATATCCTTGCGTGGGTACCCACAGCAACTTCCTTGTGAATGAATGAAGTGAGCACTGCTTTCCAGTCAGCAGGGAACTACATGCACTTTGTAGCTTTCTCAAATGAGTGGATGTATGAATTATTTCTCCGCATCCTTTTACAGCCTTCCATATAGTTCTGGATGCCTGGAATGTGTATTAGAACTTTTGCTGAAACCACGAAATACCTGGAGGTTGCTATAACTAACTGGTCACAGATGTAGCATTAAATCCACCCTGGCTTTTTCCCCTCTGGCTATGGCATATGCTAGAACGATAGTTTAATACAGCTTGGGACAGATGCTATTCAGAAACAAAAGCAATACCTATTTCAGGGAGCACTACCTTATTTGGGGATCAGGAGCTATTTATTGACCAGGGACCTGTTCATCAGTAGACACATCTAAGTGTCGGGTTATGGTGGATTTTATATATTAAAGTATTAATACAGTGGTTTATTTTTTATTTTTATTTTTGAGACAGAATCCCACTCTGTTGCCCAGGCTGGAGTGCAGTGGCGCAATCTCAGCTCACTGCAACCTCTGCCTCCCAGGTTGAAGCCATTCTCCTCCCTCAACCTCCTGAGTAGCTGGGATTACAGGCATGCACCACCACACATGGCTAATTTTTGTGTTTTTAGTAGAGAGGGGGTTTCACCATGTTAGCCAGGCTAGTCTCAAACTCCTAGCCTCAAGCAATCCATCCGTCTCTGCCTCCCAAAGTGCTGATATTACAGGCATGAGCCAACACGCCCCAGCCTAAAGTATTAATAAAATGTAGAAGAACATCTCCTAGTTCTTCTAATTCTTTGCTGTGACCTCACATGACAAATAGTTCTAATATTATCATTATTGCTCTTTTTACTTTTCCCAGCTCTCCTTCCCAGTGAACTGTAGTATCAGAGATGCCCTGGCATGTAGGAAACCTCTGGAAATGGTGACAGACCGAGGACTCTGAGGACAAAAATCTTCTAATGTCGAAGCCATTGTAGGATGGTAAATTTGATTTCAAGCCATGTAATGTACAGTTTTAAGGGGTTAATCACTATGTATAAGAAAATATATTTAAAAGTTAAGGCCAGGTGTGGTGGCTCACAGCTGTAATCCCAGCACCTTGGGAGGCCGAGGTGGGCAGATCAACTGAGGTCAGGAGTTCAAGACCACACTGGACAATATGGTGAAACCCTGTCTCTACTAAAAATACAAAAATTAGCCTAGCTACTCTGGAGGCTGAGACAGGAGAATCACTTGAACCCAGGAGGCAGAGGTTGCAGGGAGCCGAGATTGTGCCACTGAACTCCAGCCTGAGAGACAGAGTGAGAGACTCTGTCTCAAAAACAAATAAAGAAATAAAAGTTAAAAGACAAGTTTTGCACATGTAGATTTGAAACACTAACTAGATTGATCTGAACACAATAAAAAGGAATTCCAACACTAACATATTATTGCTTTGGAAAAGCAGAATATACTCCTCTTCTTCATGAAGGCAGGTGAACAGAGGTTAATATTATAAGCTCTGTTCACCCAATAGCCTTTGTTCACCTGAGATTATAGTACCAACCTCAGGAAATCTTGACTGAACACTTCATAGTGTTTCAGTAGTTTTAAGTCTAAATGCTCTTTTATAAACGCTGAAAAGGCACATACTATTTGCAATAATATTCTAGAAGGAAAGAAGAAGGGAAGGAGGGAGGGAGGGAGAGAGGGAAAAAAGGAAGGAAGGAAGGAACGAAGGAAGGAAGGAAGGAAGGAGCTCAAACAAACAACCCCAGATGCATCAGATAGTAGACCCATTTTTTCCTGTGATGAGTCTTGGAAGGAGAGAAGAAAGGAGTGAAGGAAAGGAAGAAGGGAAGGAGGGAGAGAGGGAAGGAGGGAAGGGAGAGAGGGAGAAAGGGAGGAGAGAGAGGGACAGAGGGTGGGAAGGAAGGAAGGAAGGAAGGAAAGAAACAAACAAACTATTATCTTGCTATCCTTTCCATTGTAAAGGCTAAATGAAATGGTCCTTCCAAAATTTCTTAATCACCTTCCATCTCTGTAATATTTTTCCCACAAAAAGTAAATGAATATAGAAATAGTGTCCTCCCCTGGTTCTCAGCAAATGAGGGAGCTGCTCATTAGTTCTATTTAGTCCCCAGAAATGGAAGCCACCTCCTGCTTGTAGAATGCCACGATGGTCCAGGTGCTTTGCATCTCTCTCATTCATTTTCATGAGAACTTCATGGAGGATGCAGCATAAAAACAGTTAATGTTTATAGAATATTGACCCTGTACTAAACGGTTTCACGAAGTATCTAATTTAATTCTCATAACCAGACTGTGGATCATTATCATATAAGGACCTGAGGCTCAGAGACATGAGGTCATTAGCCTGGAGACACACAATGAATGGCGGCATGGAGATCCAACCCAAATCTGTCTGACCCTAAAGCCTACATAATTATTCCTCTTCCGGGTTAAGTCACCTCTTGATAAACAGGGGAATTGGGAAGCACTTTACCATGAATACATTCAGCTTCCCAAATGGGGCCATCAATTGCTTTGTAGTTCATGAGATCCACAGGGAGAGTGACCAGGTGTTCCTAAGAGAACCTGTCCCCGTGAAGGGAAATGTTAGGTCATGCCTCATGGCTCTCAAACTTTGGTGCACATTACACTTAAAGAAATTGTGGCTCAGTGCGGTGGCTCACACCTGTAATCCCAGCTCTTCAGGAGACTGAGGTGGGCAGTAGGTCAGGACCTAGAAATCAGCCTGACCAACATAGTGGTATCCCGTCTCTACCAAAAATATAAAAATTAGCCAGGCATGATGGCAGGTACCCGTCATGCCAGCTATTCAGAGGCTGAGGCAGGAGAATCACTTGCACCTGGGAGGCAGAGGTTGCAGTGAGCTGAGATCGTGCCACTGCACTCCAGCCTGGGTGACAGAGTGAGACTTGGTCTCAAAAAGAAAAAAAGAAAAAGAAAAAGAAATTGTTTAAGATTTCTGGACCCTACCTCTAGCTTCTTAACCAATAAGAGCCAAACTCTACTTCTTTTTCTTTTCAAATGATCCATAAATTTACTGACTTATAATTTCATAGAATCAGAGTATGACATTTCCAGTCTTAATAGTTTTTTTGTAATGGTTGTTATCAGATGTCTTGCCATTAAAAACTTGCAAAAACTTTCTTTTTTCCTTCCTTCCTTCCTTCCTTCCTTCCTTCCTTCCTTCCTTCCTTCCTTCCTTCCTTCCTTCATAGTATTGCAAATAGTATGTGAATTTTCAGGTTAAAACAAAGCATTTAGACTTCTTAAAACTATGGAAATCATATAAAGTGTTTAGTTAAGATTTCCTAAAAGGCAGGCTATTTAGAGCTGCTTCCATTCTGCCAGGGAACCCAGATAGCACAAGGTTGTGAGATAACACTTTAATGAGAAGATTCTTATGTAATAGGAAATGTGAGCTTAATCTGAGCACATGGCTGCGAGTGTGTGTGTGTGTGCATATGTGTGTGTGTGACACCTGTGTGTGAAGAGGGCAGTAAAAGCTGGCGTTTATAGTTTAGTAGTCTCGGTGTTGGAAATCTTGGCAAAAATGCTGTGGACAAAATAGCCCCTGATAGTAAATTGAGAGCATTCTTTGAGGCATACAGGATACATTTACATCTCTCCACTGGATATTGACACACATTGTACCTGTGGCTAAGACGTCACTTCAGTTCCTTTCACCACTTCTTCCACGTTTAACTGGAGGGTGCCAAGCAGACAACCGGCTGAGCTGAGAGGAATGGGACTGTGTTATAAACTCACTGAAAGTTGCAGTGACTTCAAGTACTCTCTGTGTACCTTGAGCCAAATCCTCAGCCAACCTGGCTATCTGGGCCTGGCTTCCATTTGTTCCCAAGCTGACTATATCTCCTCTCATAGATCAGGGGTCATGGGTAGGGTAGTGCTGATGTGCTCAGCTCTGCAGCCACCTAAACAGGCAATGTGAACTTCCAGGCAGAGAACAGGACCTGCAGCTGTGCTCACCTCCAGCTGCCCGCAGTCCCCTCATGGGAGGGGAATTCAGAGGCAATCCAGTGTGTTCAGTGTGGTATGCCTGTAGACGAAAGGAGAATTCAGAAAGGGTCTGGAAGATGTGGTTACAATCCTCAGAGGTGGATAGTGGTGGAGGAGACTGTGAGGCCTGTGTCTCATCCCACACAGGACTGCTTTCTCATATAGGAAGGAATACCTCCTCTCCATCCCCCATATTATACTCCTGTTTTTCTCTTTTTATAAAAGACAGGGTCTCCCTCCGTCACCCAGGCTGGACTGCGATGGCACCATCTTAGCTCACTGCAGCCTTGCTCAAGCAATCCTCCTGCCTAACCTTTCAGATTTGCTGAAACTACGGATGCATACTGCCATGTATGACTAATTTTTAAATTTTTGTATAGGCAGGGTCTCACTGTATTGTCCAGGCTGGTCTTCAACTCCTGGTCTGAAGTGATCCTCCTGTTTTAGCCTCCCAAAGTGTTGGGATAACAGGCACGAGCCAGCATACCAGGCCAGACTTGTTTTTGAAGGGTTTAATTATTTTGTTTAAATTCTGATTCCATAATCTAGAAATATACATGGACATCTAGGAAACATCTTATTCTTCTACAAAGTAAAAGGCCTTGGAATCAGAACGAAACGGGTTGGGGTTGTCCTACTCTCCAGAGAGTAAATGAGCTTTAGGGATGGAGGATCCAGTACAATCCTATCTCCCTCTGAGGTTATGAAGAAGTGAATGCCATATAAGCTTACACAACGCTTCCAACATGTGTTTAGCTGGGTTCATTAGGAGCAACATGCTCTTCTCTTTAAACCTGTAGGTGTCGTGATATTTCATGCAGCATTATTCCAACTCTGTGGAATGGCCCAATTGATGTAATATTCACACGGGTACCAATGATACCAGATAATTGCTGTTTAATAAATGGGCTAACAGTCAGCTAAGGAGCTAGTGTACCCACCGTTTCCTTCCACTGTTAGATTTCAATCCAAAGCCCTTCCCTATCTTAACCCACCATGGGAAGCTACACGCACGACGAATACAAATTCTTGCATAAAATGAAGCCAATGTCACATCAGAAATGCCAAACATCAAACACCAGCAGATGCCAACCTGTCAGAATCCATGCTGTCAGATTCTGGAGCAGCGCACTAGAAAAATGTGATGTGAGCTGGAAGGGGAAAAATGCATTTGAAATGAGGGCGGGTTGTTCTTCTTTTGCTAATATCTGGGAAAGGAGGAAGAAGTCCCTCGGAAGAATTAGGGCAAAAAGCAAAGAGGTCCCATGCATTTGGGTCTACTCTGTGTGCTCACAGCTTGACACTGGCATATCCTCACTGTATTATAGCGCTAGTTCCCAGCATTGTCATTTGTTCTGCGTCATCTAGACCAACATATGACAAATGGAGTTAGCTTGATGCTTCCTGAGGCATATGCGGTTTTACTTCCAACTTATAAATACGGTTCAAACAGGGATCTTTTTTTTTCTGCGGCAGAGTCTTACTCTTGTTGCCTAGGCTGGAGTGAAATGGCACGATCTGGGCTCACTGCAACCTCCACTACGCAGCTTCAAGCGATTCTTCTGCCTCAGCCTCCCAAGCAGCTGGGATTACAGGCGCCTGCTACCACACCTAATTATTATTATTATTTTTTTTTTGTATTCTTAGTAAAGACAGGGTTTCACCATGTTGGCCAGGCTGGTCTCAAATGCCTGACCTCAGGCGACCCACCTCAGCTTCCCAAAGTGCTGGGATTACAGGCATGAGCCACCGTGTCCAACCAACAGGGACTTTTTGAGCATTTAGTACCAATACAGAAATCTGACAGTTTGTTTTTAGAACATCAAGGTTTTTGTTTGATCAAAATAGTCACAATGTACAGGTGTTTGCTGATTGTAGAAACCACAGGTGAAACTGATTTTCATTGTCTTTTATTTTATTTTATATTTCTTTGAACTAGGATTATCCCTCAAGATTTTCAGTGTCTTAATCCCCAAGACTGTGGGTCACGCTCAGCCGGATATAGAAACAGGGCTTCCCTTTTCAGAAAGAGGTGGTGTCCCAGGGCCGTTTGGCTACCCGCTTTTTAATTGGGGGTGAAATTAGGAAGGATTATCTATATGCAGCTAGAACAACATATACGAACACGTGAGTATAGCGCATTGCTATCCATTAGAGTCTAAATTAAAACTCAGCTGTGATGGGACCAACAGACAGCCTGTTACCTTCAACTTCACAGGAATGAAAGTCAGCCTGAGAGCAAAGCCATCACACTTGTCAAGGGTAGAAAGAAACAAAAGACATACTCCAAGCTTGTGCGATCCAGCTAGGAGGGCTGAATTGCTTACTCATTTTAAAAGGAATTTTCAGGGAGGGGAGAAGGCATATTCCCCAACAGAACTAACTTGCCCAGAAGGGAAGGCAGAAAAATGGACACATATCTGATTGAACATGGAAAAAGGGATAAAGACTGAATTACAGAGTATATTAATGCCTTTGTAAGGCAACCTGGACGGCCCAATGAAACCTGCCTCCCAGAGTCACAGTGTCAGTGAAACCGGCTTCACAGAGGCTGAGTGTCTAGTCTTCTTGGGTGCAAGGTTACATATTTACAAACCCCTGGCCAGAAGATGGTATAGTGAATAGAGACACCTAAGCTGTTGGCAAATAATTCAGCAAATAGAATCAAATAGAATTGACCTTTCTATTTTTTTTTTTTTTTAAAGATGGAATCTCGTGCTGTTGCCCAGGCTGGAGTGCAGTGGTGTGATCTTGGCTCACTGCAGCCTCCACCTCCCGGGTTCAAGCGATCCTCCTGCCTCAGCTTCCTTAGTAGCTGGGACCACAGGTGTGTGCCACCACACCTGACCTTTCTATACTTTTGTTTAACCATTTAAAGTATACGTTTCAGTGGCATTAAGTACATTGATGGGTGTTGTATGACCATCACCTCTTCATTTCCAGAACTTTCTATCATCCCGAACAGAAACTGTATTCATTAAACAATAACTCCTCATTCCCTTCAGCCCCTGATAACCTCTACTGTATTTTCTGTCTACAAATATACCTCAGACAAGTGGTATCATACAGTATTTCTCATTTTATGTCTGGCTTATTTCTCTTAGCATGTTTTCAAGGTTCATTCCTGTGGCAACACAGAGAATTTCACTCCTTTGGAAGGCTGAATAATATTCAGTGGTACATATATGATATTTATCCATGGACATGAGTTTTTTTCCACCTTTGGCTATTGTGAATAATGCTGCCATGCACACTGCAAAAATATCTGTTTGCATCACTATTTTCAGTTCTTTGGGATATATACCTAGAGGTAAAATGGCTAGATCAGATGCCAATTCTACGTTAAACTTTTTGAGAGACTGGCAAACTGTTTTCCATAAGGACTGCCCCATTTCACATTCCCACCAAGAGTGAAGGGAGGGCTCCAATTTCTCCACATTCCTGCCAACATTTATTGTTGTGTTTTGTTTTATACACAGCCATCCTAATGGGTAGGAAGTGGTATCTCATGTAGTTTGGATTTGCATTCCATACTTTTTCTAATTCAGTCACTAAAGATAGTTATGGCTTTTCCTCTGAAATTCCAGTAGCTTCTCTTGGTCAACCAAACAATGTGTGTATGAAGCCCATTTCTTCACAGATCTCAGAGCTGCTCAGCAGGGATTTCACCCTGTCACTGTCACACCACACGGTACAGAGAGACTGATTGGAATTGAAGGAAGGCAAACTGCTGAATCGAGAAAGACACTTTGCACTCTCTCTGGGGCACGATGAAGGGTTTTTCCTTTTCTTTCTTGCTTTCTTTTTCTTTGATACACCAGCATCAGAGAACTGCCATTTAGTGCACAGCAGGCAATTCACCCATCAGGCCTGTGAAGGTAGTTGAAGTAGCCGCTCTGATGGCTGAATGGCCGGACAAAAGCGGCCATTGTGGGGCTGACTGGTTTTGAGGATAACAATGATACTCTGATCTGACAGCGATACCATGAAATTATATACCTGTGATGGAAAGAGCTGGATCTTGAACAAGTCGCTCCTCTAATGATCAGCTAATGGCAACAGGCCCCCTTTACACTACTACAAGAAAAGTCACAGGACAACCGTATGCTCCTTTTTAGAAGTAGATGTATGTGAGCTGCGGCAGGTACATCTCTGATGACAGTTAGGAGGTTGGTGCCCCTGATTCTGGGACTGATGCTGGCACCATTCAGGAGAGAAAGGTTGTGGCTGGCATTCTCAAGTATACACCAGTAAAAGAAGGGCATGTGGCACACTGGTCTTATTTGGGTTCCCTTGAAGCTGAGGCTTTACTTGATTTGTGGACATAGAGGAAATAAGAGTAGTGAAGGTAGGTAGGTAAGTGTCCCACAAATCTGGCTCTAGGCTTTAGAGCACAGACTTTATTGAGACTATTCCAGTCAACAGCAGGGAAACTCACCTCTGCTGGTAATGCCAGCCTAGCAATCTAGCTGAACTTGTTAGTTAAGTCAAGAATAGTAATCATCACTGGGGCTTCTGGTGAACTGGCAAGAGAGACCAAAAAGGTAATTGAAGTGATGGAGATGTTACTTTTTCAGATGGACTCTTTAGAGGGTTTTTTTTTCTTTTGAGATGGATTTTCGCTCTTATTGACCAGACTACAGTGCAATGGTGTTTTCTCAGCTCACCACAACCTCTGTCTCACCTTCCCAGTTCAAGCAATTCTCCTGCCTCAGCCTCCCGAATAGCTGGGATTACAGGCATGCATCACCACACCCGGCTGATTTTGTATTTTTAGTAGAGATGGAGTTTCACCATGTTGGCCAGGCTGGTGACCTCAAGTAATCTGCCTACCTTGGCCTCCCAAAGTGCTGAGATTACAGGCATGAGCCACCACACCCGGCCTCTTTTGAGTTTTATGAATAAAAATTTCCAAGAGAAATAATTTGATTGGTCTACTTTTGCCAGATATAGGTGATGGGGGGGAGGGGCGGATGGAGGCAGCAAACCACATTGCCATGTATATACCTATGCAACAATCCTGCATGATCTGCACATGTGCCCCAGAACCTAAAGTACAATTAAAAAAAAAAAAAAAAAATATATATATATATATATATATATATATATATATATATATATATATAATCACCCTGACTAGGCAGAGCTTCTTTGCAAACCTCTTCCTGGTTCCTGGTCATGGATTGGCTGCCCTTGGGTCAGCTGATTTACCAGGTTCCAATCAGCTGAGGGGGCTCAGTCACATGACACACAACATGGCCTCTCCTATGAAAGAATAGAAGGCAGTGGACAAGAGAATTTCTTGGGTCAGTCAGAGACTGTGTATCACAACTATAATTGATGGGTCTGATACATTCATACCTTACTCTACACTTATGAAGGCCAAACAGTTGGACTTCACATTTTTCTCTCTTGCCTAAAACTTCGAATGGTTTCTGCAGATCATGAGAATATGTCACAAAACGAATTTAGGTCAGGCCTTACTTGCTTTTACGATTGTTCCTAATCATCATTATTCATCATTTACTTAATTTTTCAAACAACTTCTCTTCCTATAGAGACAGCAAGAATGATAAAGAATGTCTATATAAGTCTCTTGGCAGAAAAAAAACCTATAAAATAGTTTCCTTACTGAGCTACCTGAGTTGAATAGTTTAGATGTTTCCTAGAGGCAGGACAGGTAGGCTCAATTCTCTTCCTGACCAGTGGTTTGGTTGAATAGTCAGTAAGTGGGGTGGGGTGAGGATTACAAGCTCCTTTTCCCTTTTGGAATTCTCATCTTAGAAGAACTGCCAGGTTTCACCATTTGCATCTTTTTTCTTAAATATTTAGTGTTGGATTCTCTTACTGCCTGTTCCCTCCTTCCCATCTTCAAACAGCAGCACTGAGACAACTCTCCTCTCAGTTTTTGAGGTTCATGGCTTTGAGTCAACTTCTCTCCCACCCTTCTCTCTCTTTCCCCAATAGTGAGTCATTGCTGAGTCCTGTGTTTGCATCCTCTTGACCCATCCCTTCCAATATATTCCTGCAATTTTGGCAATAGTCTCATGCTGGGGCTCTTCTGTTGGCCTTACTCTACTGACTTAGATTTCCCTACACAGCCTAGAGAGCAATCTGACATAAATCTCATTTTGATTATGACATTCCTCTGTTGACAAACCTATGGTCAATCCACTGTCAAATTCAAATGCTTGTATCACATGCTTCCTAACTTTAAGTTCCCAACCTCATGATTCATCCACTCACCCCCAGTCAGCCCCCAGTCTCACCATTCTGCAGGCCACTGACCCAGGCCCCCTGCCCCATCAGCCTTTCTACAGGCCACTTCTTCCTCTGGAATGGTCCCTTTATTATCCACTCCTGTGCCCCTGTTCAACCCAAGTCCAGGAGCTATCCCCCAGCAATAAACTGCAGGCCTGCATGTGCTGCATGCTTTATGAGAACTGCCTTCTTATGGTCAAACGGCATCTTCTTGTCCATGCTCTCTGCTACTCAGATGACCCCAAAGCCTCTTTCGCATAGGACACTGGAATCGTCTATGACTTGTTTCTCAGTTTAGGGAAAGAGGAAAGCAGATTCTCTCTTCTCACCAAAGCAACTCTATTTTAGACTTGCATCAGGCATACTTATACCAAAATCACTAAAGAACAATGGAATATATCTTTTCTCTACCCAAATATCCTTAGTACTGACCACCTGGGGTTCCCCAGATGAAGGCAAGTATCTCCTGAGGTTAAGCTTAAAAGCCATCTGTATTACCTGGAAGGGATAAGACATTATTGACACCTAGTGAATTTGTACCACGGACTAGTTTAACAGATTGGCTAGAGCATGAAAAATAAAGGAACAGAAAGGGGTTAGCTATATTTTGATATGTTATAGTCATCTGGAATTTCTTTGGTTGCAAAGGGCAAAAACCCAGTTTGAACTATCTTGGTCAATTTATCTTGGAATACTTAATTGAATGACAGGATTGGAAGAAGGGTTGAACAAACAAGTTGGGTAAGTGAAGGCATAGAGCTGAATCTAAGCCCAAGATTTATTTTTATTTTTATTTTTGAGACAAAGTCTTGCTCTGTTGCCCAGGCTGGAGTGCAGTGGCACATTCTCTGCTCACTGCAATCTCTGCCTCCCTGGTTCAAGCAATTATTGTACCTCAGCCTCCTGAGTAGCTGGGTCTACAGGCACATGCCATGATGCCTGGCTGATTTTTGTATTTTTAGTAGAGATGGGGTTTCACCATGTTGGCCAGGCTGGTCTTGAACTCTTGGCCTTAAGTGATCCAGTCACCTCAGCCTACCAAAGTGCTGCGACTACAGGTGTGAGCCTCTATACCTGGCCTCCTGAGCCCAAGATTTAAATGCCAGTGAGTATCAGCAGCAGTACCAACATGGCCCTGTCTAGAAAAGAAACCCATGTCCCTGAGAGCTGCTCCTAAAGGGATCACTCCCATCTGCTGCATAGCAGCTCCTGGATTTGGTAGACACTTGTTTGGAAGCTGTGTGTAGTATTATAACCTCCAGTATCGGCTACAATTCTCTTGCACTAAGAACCTCTTTTAGCATTTAGAGATATCAAATGTGTTTATAGCTAGAGGGTCAATGGTTACATTAAATTTTCTTATTTGCTGAAATTTAAACTGAGCTACATTTGTTTAATTATATCTTTTATGTCTAAGCTATATTTGTTTAAATATGTGCTTTTACCTTTTCCTTGAAATGAATTATTATGAATATATATTTATATCTTACACATAATGGTGATGACTAAAACCTTAAAAAGTGCCTTGGAACAGATGGTAGTTTTAGAACAAAACAGATCCATTAGCTGTCAAATCCAGCTTCCCGTAGGATGAAAAATAAGAGTTAGTTCTCAGGTAGTGCTAAGAAAAGCTCTCACTTAATCTAATACCTTAGGTTATGGATTATTTTGTAAAAAAAATTTGGCATGGAAAAACTATGACAACTCACAAACTGCAAAAAATAAAATAAATACAAATTCATATGATTCACTAAGCAAACGACACAAAACCTAATCGAAAGTGTATTTTAAAAGGTGCAGTGACTCAGGCCTGTTATCCCAGCACTTGGGGAGGCCACGGTGGGCTGATCATCAGGCCAAGAGATTGAGAACATCCTGGCCAACATGATAAAACCCAGTCTCTACTAAAAATACAAAAATTAGGCCAGGTGCAGTTGCTCACACCTGTAATCCCAGCACTTTGGGAAGCTGAGGCGAGCGGATCACCTGGAGGTTGGGAATTCGAGAACAGCCTGGCCAACATAGTGAAACCCCATTTCTACTAAAAATACAAAATTAGCCAGGCGTGGTGGCACATGCCTATAATCCCAGCTACTTGGGAGGCTGAGGCAGAAGAATCCCTTGAATCCGGAAGGTGGAGGGTGTGGTGAGCCAAGATCATGCCATTGCACTCCAGCCTGGGGAACAAGACTGAAACTCTGTCTCAAAAAAAAAAAATTGGCTGAGCATGGTGACAGGCTGGGCGTAGTGGGCACATCTGTAGTCCAAGCTACTTGGGAGGCTGAGGCAGGAGAATCACTTGAACCTAGGAGGTGGAGGTTGCAGAGAGATCTCGCCACTGTACTCTAGCCTGGTGACAGAGTGAGACTCCATCCAAAAAAAAAAAAAAAGAAAAAAAATGATACAATTGATTTGGAATTAAATGGTGCAAGTTTCCAGGATTTTCCAAATACACATAGTTTTCTTGTCGATATTTGTGGAATCTTTTATTTATTTTCTTAATGAGAAGAAGGAAAAAATAATCTCCACTTTTATAGAAGGAGAGATTTCTGGAACCAGAGAAACCCTTAGACATCACTAGAGATGGTGCAATGATTTATCCAAGGTCAGACGATGATTTAGAGTCGGAGTAGAAGCTGGAGTCAGGTCTTCTCTCCTTTATCCTTTCTACCACCTCCATCAAATACTAAGCAGTCGTTTTCTAAAGGAATGGTTTTACAAATAGTCACTCACGTCAGATTTTCTGTATGTGTATTTTCATGTGGATCTACTAAGTAAAATGTTTTGATAAAAGATCTTTAAACATGTTGCATGACCACAGACAGTTCTCAAGGTAAACAAATAGACTGGTGGATGTCCTGTCCTACTCAACAGAGACAGCAGAGTTCTTTGTATACCACAGAATACAGAGTCTAGAGACAGCTAAAAGTACTATCATAGTTAAGCTAAAATGCCTATTTGCTGAGCCATCAAATCTATGTTTAAATACTGCAATTCATAGTTTGACATGGAATTGAAATGAAACTTCTGTCCATCAGCACTAGCACAAGTCAGGCACGAATCAGAAACATAGGTGTTTAAGCCATAGGAAAGCAAGGGTGGCTGAGCATGACTCATACTTGTAATCTCAAAAGTTTGAGAGGCCAAGGCAGAAGGATCACTTGAGCCCATCAGTTGTAAACCAGCCTGGGCAGCATAGTGAGATCCCATCTCTACAAAAACATAAAAATAGCTGGGCATAGTGGTGCACACCTGTAGTCCCAACTCAGGAGGTTGAGGTGAGAGGATAGCTTGAGCCCAGGAATTCAAAGCTGCAGTGAAGAATGATCTCGGCATTGCCCTCCAGCTTGGGTAGCAGAGTGAATGAAAAGAAGAGAGAGAGACATAGAGAAACAAAGACAGACACAGAGAGGCAGAAAGCTAGAAAGAAAGAGAAGAAAGGGAGGAGGGAGGAAGAGGAGGAGGGAGGGAGGGAGGAAGGAAAAGGAGGAAGAGGAGGAGGGAGGAAGGAAGGAAGAAAAGGGAGGAAGGGAAGGAGGGAGGAAGAAAAGGGAGGAAGGGGAGGAGGGAGGAAGGAAAGGGAGGAAGGGGAGGAGGGAGGGAGGAAGGAAGGAAGGAAAGGGAGGAAGGGGAGGAGGGAGGGAGGAAAGAAGGAAGGAAAGGGAGGAAGGGGAGGAGGGAGGGAGGGAGGAAGGAAGGAAGGAAAGGGAGGAAGGGGAGGAGGGAGGGAGGAAGGAAGGAAGGAAAGGAAGGAAGGAAAGGGAGGAAGAGGAGGAGGGAGGGAGGA